GCGTGTTCTGGTGGGGGAAGAGGGCGGTGAAGGCAGAAGGAGAGGGGGAGGGGGTGGTGCAGCCACCGGAAGAGGAGAGCAGGACAGCGGCATGGTTCAGAATGTAGGACTTTAAGATGGCGGCAACACGTGTGAAGACAAAGGACTTAGAGATGGGGGTGGAGAGAGGGGGAGGGGATTGCGAGCTGAGGGAGGCGGGCGACTGAGGTCCTCCGGCAGATCTGATAAGGAAGAAGGACTGGGCGGAGTAAGAGGCTGACAGTATTTAACTGGAGATCAGGCCAGGAGAACCTGAGTCATTGAACACAACATAAAGGTCTGGGCGGGAGCACAAAGTCCAAAAAGCCTGCACATATGGGATTTCACTCCACTTTCCACTCCAGTGGCAATAATTAATCAAGTCGGTGAGGAGGCCAAAATTGAAAGTTCCCTCAGGAGGCCACTGAGATTGGTTGTCCAAGGGATACTGAGGCCCGGCCTCAGAGCAAAGAAAGACTAGCTTCCATTTGCGAACTTCCCAGGACAAATATAGAGCAGCCAGATTAGAAATGAGACACCGCAACGGGGTCTGAGCTTCCGCTTTTGAGGGCTGGTTCTCCATGTTTGCACCACTTCTTAACTAATCCCGCTGAGAGGAGCACCCAGCATCTCAAGCGCGCCAAGTCAGGGGAGACGGCCTGGGAGCCTGGGTGAGGGACATCTCCCACACTGCAGGGCCAGGGGCAGGCTGGATGCCTGCAGACGTCCTGGAGCCTGGGGTAGGGACGTCTCCCATACCGCAGGGCTAGGGGTGGGCCGGATGCCCACAGAGGGTGGGCTGGATGTCTCCACCTGGACTTACGTATGATTTCTAACGGACCAGGTGAAATGGAGTTAGGAAGGGAAGCAGACTGGGGGAAACTGAGGGACTCACCGGAAAATAGTCCATGCAGCAGAGAGCAGGCTGAGGTCCTGGATCGGGGAAGGAAGGGGTGGGGTCACTGCTGGCCGGTCGGGGACCCACATTCATGCTCCTTCACGGGTTTCAGCACCAAATGTAAGATAAATCCTAGCGGAAATAAGCAGGTGACGAGAGGCCACAAAGGGCCAGGCAGTTTATTTGAGCGCCATTCCCAGGTGATGTTCCCCCGTCTGGCTATCACAGGCCAGGGAAGTTACACTCAGCAGGGCAGGCAGCCAGTTTTTAAAGAAGGTAGTGGGAGGCAGAGCTTAGATTTACAGCAGCACGAGGATTGGCTAGCCTGAGGCACATTTTTCAGGTTGGGAGAAGGCAGCAGCCGGGGACTTTGGCACGTCATCAGTGTCTGATGTGCTCACTCTCCACCCCCCACTGCCTTCAACCTTACACACTGTGACCAATCTTCTAAGCACTCTTTGATGTCAAAAGATGTTTCCCCAGAGGAAAAGATAAGAGCTTTTGTCACAGGCTAATGCCCAGGAGCAGTGCCTGTGCAGAGGAACCAAGAAAGCCTGCGAGTTACCCTTGGACTCATCCTAGTAAAAGCCCTGCCCTGTGGGGGCTGTAATACAAACAAACTTAGGATGTATCAAAATGCATAGTCAGCCAGTGTGCATGCGCCAACTTTACCTCATCACTGCCTGTAAATGACAAAACTCCTCTTTCAAATATTCAACTACCTCACCCAGAATAAAGGAAACATGCTTTCCCTTGCTCAAGGAGCTGTGGCTTTGAAAGCGATTCACTGTGCTCTTATTTGGGGCAAATAAAATTTACTGCATGACAACTGCTTCTGGGGAAGGCTTTAGATTTCAACTTAGCAAAAAGCAAAGTAACGCCATGTCAGAAACACTTTTTTTCTGGAGACTGTCATCTTGAAGTAGACGTGAATTTCAGTCGTCTTTGACCGCTTGTGACAGAAAAAGTACGACAGAAAATGCGCTTGGTTGGTTCAGTTCCAGTAAGGGCACAATCTGCCTTTGGAGAATCTGGGGAAGAACGAGGCTGGCATTGCGGGGATGAAGTCCAGGTGATCAGGACCAGGACGTTCCCTAGCACACCAGTAAAAGACAAAGCCTAGGATCCCGGGATTCAGTCTGAGGTTGGACAGCCTCAGCAGGAGTTCAGGCTTACTCCGTGGAATTCCGGGAAGAGGCTTACACCGCAAAGACGACTGGAGAGCCGCGTGTACTCCTGGAGTACGGCTCTGTGCAGGGTGGCTGCTGAGCCCTGAAATGCTATGCAGACACAAGATTTGCTTCCTCCTTAGCCCTCTAAATGTAGATGGCAAGGCATTTTACTTTGAAAAAGATTTTTTCTTCTTAAAGAGGAAACTTTTTTTTTTTTCTTTGAGGAAAAGCTGTATTTTCTCTATGTGGGCTATTTGTTAGGACTTCTATTCATGAAATTGCTGAAGAGAAAACTATAAAAATATTTAAAGTCATATACACCATGTGGAAAAAAATGTTTCTGTATTTTGACAATATGAAATATTTATGCCTACAGGTTTAGCCACTACTCTATCCCATTCGTTCCATGCTTCCTTACTGTTGATATTTTTATCACTGTAATTGAAATATAAATTACAAATAAAACATATTAACTATGCAGATTAGCTACTGATTACAGCCCTGTAAGTGCTGCTAGAATCAAGACAGATTTCCATTACTCCTGAAAGTTTCATGCCCTGTCCCTGCCTAATTCTCAAGAGGAAACCAGTTTCTTGCTTTAATGATAAATTTGTCTTGCTAATTTTTTCTTTTAACTTCATATAAATGGAATCAAGCAAGATGTATGTATGTGGTCTGGCTTTATTCACCACATTAAGATTCACTGATGACGTCTATTAGTATATTCTCTACCAAGTAGTATTCCACTGTGTTAATGTACTGCCATCTGTTTATCCAATCTCCTGTTGATAGACATTTGGACTTTTTCTGGATTTCTGGCTATTAGGAATAAAAACAATATTCTTGTGCATGTCTCTTTTGAGATACTCTAGCAGATACAGTCACAGAAAAAATAGTGGGATCTGAGGGGTATGAAGAAGCCGTTCAGTAAGACGGTGCAGTCTCTCTAATCTATGGTGTCGGCCTCCTCCCCATCTCCGACCCGCAGATAAAGGAGGCGACACGAGGAGATATCGAAGACCCGAGTGGGCCAGCCGGGGGACTCCAGGCATACCCGCTCAAGAGTGGTGCTGGAAAGGCACCTCTCATTTATTGATCAGGCATCACATTCTTGAGGGGGTTAACAAGTTTCTAGACACAGTGATTAACATGCTTTACTACAGGAATGTAATTGCCTCCAGGTCGCTGGGGCAAGTCTCCCTGGTGCCAGGCAATGAGGGGTAGAGATAAGAAGAGACAGATCTCAGTTTAGATTTAGTGAGCTGCTGCGTGCACCACAGACAACAAGGAAGGCAAACAATTCCCACAGAAACAGAATCATCTATGGATGGCAACCTACATTTCCCCCGTTTTTAAATAAAAAAGGAAGAGAAGTCCGTTATTCTACTGCAGCTTGTTAAAGGAAGGGGCGACAAGAAATGCCTCCTCAGGGGGGGCGAGGTGCTAAGCCACGCCTCAGTTGACCCCCTCATCTCTCGACCTGTTGGCCCCCGCGACTGTGCCTGTCTTAGGTTGTTCCTCCCGTGAGGAATCTTACCCGTCTCTGGCTAGCCAGCCATCTCTTGGGGCCGTACAGGGAGTAAATGCCATAGAGCAAAGAGGCATACAAAAGATTTATGCAAACACTTCGTCATCCCCTTAATTGCTGCAGAATTTTAAAATATACAGTGATCTGTCACATGGACTCTCAAGAAAATAACATACAATTATTATTTTTTTGCCATGACTTCTTGAAATATAGCATATGCATGAATTGGCTTTATTAAGCCAGCAATCAGATGGCGCACCCATGCTACCAAAACAGGAAGGCAAATGCATAAAAGAAGTAGGCCTACAAGTATTGGCCAGTGAAACCAAGAGAACCAATCAGATAATCCAGGTAATTGTGAAAACTTATCAATAATATGGTGAATATCATCCAACTGGTTTTGAATTGTCTGTGAAAAATCAGATATATTAAAACAACACATCCCAGGAAATTGTTCACAGCCCAAATATTCTTTCAGCAACAAATAGTCTATGGCAGCACGATTCTGGAGCACTGCCACTCGAACTTCTCCCAGGTCCGGATTAAGTTCTGACAGTATGGAGGCAGTCAGATCTGCAGTCTTGCTGTAGGCACAGGCCAGCTTAGACATTTCCTTCTGCATTCCTGCAACGAATCTTGGTACAGGCAATACAAACGCCGCTGCGACTGCAACGGCAACGGGGTCCAACAATTTCAAGTTGTCGTCACAATCTGGAGGCAGGGCTCGGGTCACTCTTCAGTGTTTAAATCCAGGATGATCTATAAGGGCTGGGAGAATACGTCCTATACCACAGACGCCTTGATAATGTGAGGAAAGGGCTTGATAGATTTTGTTATCACACAAAAACACCCAGTCATTGGGGAGTCTATACCCATATGGCCATTTTACATGAATAGTAGAATTACAGTAAGAATGTATATTAGTACAGTTGATACATACACAACTAGAAACTATAGTGGTGCTAACTGGTAAATTCAATTGAATTTCTCAAGTAAGAATCTTGGGGGCTAAAGTAATATTTATTCCAGAAATATTGGTAAACAACTGAAAAAGGGAGTCCTATGCCTATCAAATTCTTCTTTAAGATTCCACTAATAGAGGAATCACTTGCTATACAAAATAATGTCTTGTTAAGCCCTTGATTAGCCAATTGCAAACACATATTGGGTGAAGAATATTCATTCTCTGCAGTTAGTGAAATATCCAAATAAACATAACTACTTTTATATATTTGATCAAGGCTTCCCTTCTGGAATTTTTCACAAGAATAATTGCCAATGTCATTCTGGGTTAAAACTGCTTTATAAATATCATAGCGGGTATTGTCTCTTTTAGACTGATCGGTAGCATTATCCCAACCAAGTTTTCCTCCATCTTTCTGTCTATATATTTCATTACCATCCTTTTTCCAAATCACTGGGCCTACAGGAGTTGAACAAGTGGAGATACAGTGAAGTTCTACTCCCCGGCCAAAGTGCGGAGGACTGCTAATACTAGCAGTAATAGTACAGGCCTGGGTTATGTGTATGTGTATAGAGATTAGAATAAAAAACTTCATTATCATGTAGAGATTCTCACTCCAGTGATGGAACTGGTTGAGGGACATCGCCTGGGACAGCTGTCTCAGATGGCGATGTTGCTGGGAGTTACTCTTTATAGCGTATCTTGATCCGCTTTCTAGGCAGCCAGATCAAGCGTTGGTCCTCTATAATGACACAAACAAACCCTTTGCCCCACACTTTAATATGACCTTTATGCCATTGTGAAGAACCTATTGGAGACCACCATACAGGAACTGCTGTTGTTCTAGACAAAGAAATATTGTCAGAAAAATGCACTTCCATAGCTGATTGTCTGTCACCCTTTAAAATACCAAAATTAAGGATATGTAAAGTATGTATTAATCGTTGATTTGCAGTTAATTTTATCATATCAGGCAGTAATCCCCCTTTTTGTTTTAATAAATAATGCTTAAGAGTAAGATGGCGATGTTCAATTAGAGCTTGGCCTGTAGAATTGTATGAAATGCCTGTTTAATGAGTGATATTATATAGCTAAAAAAAATTTTTTTTAGCATAGAGGAGAGGTAAACTGGAGCGTTGTCAGTCAGCTTAAGAGAAAAAGCTTAAAACATTTTGTCAGCAACATTTGAAACAAAAAGCTACAAAATCGTCTTCTTTAGTTTACTTAATCTTATGTAACCAATACCTGTTCTGCTGAAATCTAGTTCTTTACTAGTTTAGGAGTAACAAAACAGTGACTTTAAATGACAAAAGACTTACAAATGACAATGGTTAAAGACTTGATGAGCACTTACATAAGATAGTTGACATAAGAAAATGTTGATATTTCTGTAATACAAAACATTCAGAAACAAAGTTTAGCATCATTCCTTTTGACAGTGCTTTCTAGGTAAATAAATATTAGATAAATAAGCCAAAGTAGCCAAATATTTTTCCCGATGAGGAGAAAAAATTCTTCTGAGATGTTCCAGGGGCCCTCTGGAAAATAATAGTTAACTAGAGGTAAAAGCACCTTTTTGAATTTTATTTTGGAAAGTTGTCAAAAGAAAGTTTCTTTGGCATTTGCTTAAATAAGATTATAGGTTGCCATGAAGCAACACTTACCTATTTAACTAGAATGACAACAAAATACTTCAAAGGCAGATACAGAAGTTTACACAGTTGTTAGCAAAGTTTAACTTTTAGTCCTTTGATAGTAGAATCTCATTTTCTTAACTACTCAGACAATTCATTGAGACTTTAAGCATGAGAAACTATTTTGATAAAACAATTAGAAAACCTTTTGCAATCTTTCAACATTAAGAGCAGACTAACAGTTTAAGAAAACTTTTGTCTTTAACTGAAAACAAAATTCTAATTTTGCTGTGTACTTGATATCAAGACTCACTTGCTTTAATTTCACATAGCATGACTATATCAATTTTTCCACAAGTTTTCTACAACTTTCTTTTAACATTCAGTGTTCTCCCCCTTTAAATAAATAGCTGTACTTTAGAACAACTACCTTCTTTTACCTCAACAAAACGAATTTCCATTCTTTATACTTCCTCTTTTTAAAACACACATCTTTAGCATACAGATATATTTTCCTTACTGTATTAAGTAGTTTTCATTAGAACTGAAAACCATTTGATACTTTAACTTTCAGTGAACACTGAAAAATAGGCCACTGTAAACTGTTACACTAGCATTCTTCAGACTGATACATCTATGAGTGTATATTATCATTTTTGGAAATGTGCTTTACAGCACAATTTCTCATTAGGCACAAAATATGTCTATATAACTTAGCAAACTTTAAGGATTTTGGTTACCACAAAAATTCTCAGGCTGTTTGCAGATATATACACTGTTATACATTAATATAGTATTATTATTAAGATGTTTATTTGCTACACTTGTTTACTTATTTTTAGCAACCATGCTAGATTACTTACAAAACTTTTACCAAATATTAGACAAAGTCAAGCTTTTCTTTAAGCATCTTCTTGAAATGTTTAACAGGTAACATCAACTTAAATGACTTTAAGTAAACTTTGGCAGCTGATAACTATAAGGACATGTCCGTTTCAGTTAAACTTAAATTAGCATTAATGCTTAATATTTTTTATTATATTTTCTGAAAGATTTAGAATGCCCAATTTTCACAAGCACTTGTTTTTAAATCAATTTTTATTAATACCATCTGGAGTTAGGAAAATATTTTTCATTTACACACTCAGAAACACAAAGATACAAATTGAGATGTAATGACTACAGTTAGCAACACTTTTCATATAAAAACATATACACAGACAGACAAACTGATATAAAGATTTGAGTTACTAATATTCAATTACCTTCTTTCTTTTTAGCTTACTTGATTAAAAGTACTTCAGTTTTCAAGAATACACTCTAAGGGCGAGCGGTTTACATAACTGGGTTAAGGTTTAGATGGCCCCAGACTAACAGGGCCGATGAAGGCTCTGAACTTATAGGGACTATGTGTGTCCAGGGGGCCGGAAATAAAATGCAAGTGAAATTCTAGCTCCAGTCATTTAAAGCCAGGCTGTATTGCAGAAGATTAATTTCTTTTATCTCGGGGAGTCTAGTTTAAGACTTACCAATTTTCAAAGATAATGATGAACATAATAAGTAGAATAGATTTTCACTAAAAGAATTTAGAAAACTAGTTCCATATTGTAGTAGTTCACGGGACTTTTGACTATTTTCTTTCCTTGTAGCAAAATATATTTAGCTGAATAACATTATATTGCATACTTTTTTCAGGGGCCAAGCCTCTCTAAGCAAAGTTTTACTGGGGCCAGGTTTGTGTGCAGAAGACAAGACACTTCTTTTTTTGAATTTAGGGATCGAATTGCTCTCAGTTAATTTTCCTAGTTTTTTTCTGCCCGAGCTCTAGTCATTCTTTGAGAGGCCCCTGCCTGTCTGATAAGTGCAGGGACAGTGTGACTTTTTGCTGCTAGAGTCTTGATCAGTCACAGGCTTGTATCGCTTCCCTGGGGCTGCAGACAAGGAAATGCTTAGCTCCAGGAAGACTGCCTCTAAAGGAGTCAATAGAATAGAGCTATTTACATGTTGGTCTGAGGGTTCAGCTTGATTACTTTACAGGCTCTATTTACATTACACAGAAGAAAGTGGCACAGGCCTAAGAGGACTGCTTTGAAGGGGGAGCAAGGTAAATTAATACGAGTAAAGGTTTGTGTAAGTCAACTTCTGATAATTGAGCCTTTTGAGTGTGTTGTTCTACCTACTTGAGTCCTTCACCTTTTAAGGTTAAGTCTCTAGGACTATTAAGATCTGAGGGTCTTTTCAAAGTATTGAAGAGATGTTGCAATTTATAAGTAGGAATACTTAGTAATGGTTGGATCCAATTGATATCTCTTAATAATTTTTGAAAATCATGTAAAGTTGTAAGATGATCTCTCCTTATCTGAATTTGCTGAGGGATTATTGAATTTTCTTGAATTCTATTCCCCAAGTAATTCATTGGGTATTGTATTTGTATTTTATCAGGAGCGATTTATAAGCCCCATTGTTTTAATTCAACTTTGATCTCATTGAGAATAGTAGTAAGAGATAGATGTTTATGTAGTTATGCAAATATCATCCATATTATGAATGATATAAGCTGAGGGCCATTTTCTACGTATAGACTTAAGAGTCCTATGCACATAATTTGGGCAAATTGTGGGGTTCTTTAGCATTCCTTGAGGAAGCACTTTCCACTGAAATCTTTCTGAAGGGGCCTGTAAGTTTAAAGAAGGGGCAGTAAAAGCAAATTTTCCCCTATGTGTTATGGTCAAAGGAATTGTAAAAAAGCGATCTTTAAGGTCAATGATACCCATATTCTAGTCTTTTGGAATCATAGCCAGAAAAAGGAGGCCTTGCTGTAAAGGTCCCATAGGTTTAAGAACCACATTAATTTGCCTTAAGTCATGTAAGAGTCTCTAATTTCCTGACTTCTTTTTTATAACAAATACAGGGGAATTTCACTGGCTAATGGAAAATTCTAATCTATCTAGCTGAAGCTGTTCTTTAACTTGTGTAAGGATGCCACTTTTTCTTTATTAAGGGGCTATTGACCCACCCAAACAGGCACAGGGATAATGTTTCCCTGTGAGCCTCTTTGAAATCTCTTAATGCATTACTCCCACCAGCTTGTCTGAGGGTTCCCCCTGGAGGCAACTGATAACAATACTTTTTAATATATTTATGAGGTTGAGCAAAGTTCTTTTTAGAAGTTTTCACTCCTGGTGTTTTCAGGAGGGCACGGAGTAATTTTAAGTAATCCTCCGGTTTCTCTGCTTTAGTTTCATGTTGGCCCATTATAGTGTCCCTGACGTCTTGATCCTGTCCCTACATACGCTTTCCCGGGAATCTTACCGGTCCGGAGCTTTTTCCCACCCTTGAACTGTAAGTGCTGTCGAACGGAGGTTCTCCACCCTGAGTTTCAAGGGTCGCCTGAAGTGGAGGTTCTCCGCCCTGAGTTTTAACCGTCTTTCAGGTCCCTATTTGGGCGTCACTTGCGGGCCTCCTTCCCGTCTCCGACCCACAGATAGAGGAGGCGACGCGATAAGATAGCGAAGACCTGAGTGGGCCAGCCAGGGGACTCCAGGCGTACCAGCTCAAGGGCGGTGCTGGAAAGGCACCTCTCATATTTATTGATCAGGCATCACATTCTTGAGTGGGTTAACAAGTTTCTAGGCACAATGACTAACATGCTTTACTCCAGGAATGTAATTGCCCCCAGGTCGCTGGGGCAAGTCGTCCCTGGCGCCAGGCAATGAGGGGGTAGAGATAACAAGAAACAGATCTTGGTTTAGATTTAATGAGCTGCTGCATGCACCACAGACAACAAGGAAGGCAAACAATTCCCACAGAAACAGAATCATCTATGGATGGCAACCTACACTATGGTGACAGAACTTGGTAATGAGAAGTGGCAGTGTCAGGAAGGGATACTGAGGAAGCTTAGAGATGCTGGTAATGCGCACAATCAGGGTCTTACATGGTGGAATCTTACATGGGTGGGTAGCTTCATGAAAATTATGTATACTTAATGTAGCCCTATTGGTATGCATTTATATTGTAATAAAAATTTATAAAAACAGGGCACTCCTGATTCGGACGGCCGCACGAGGAGCAGACAGGTGGCCCAGGTGTCAGCGCAGAAAGCGGACGAGCCAGCAGTGAAGTAACATTATGAGACTTCAACAAGAACTGTCTGATACCCTAAAAAAACAATCTATGTCAGAGGCTTCGCTGGAGGTTACATCACGTTACTTAATTAATTTAGAAGATGAAACACAGGATTTAAAGAAGAAATTGAGGCAAATCAAAAGTCAAGCTTGAAATAGAAAATGACAACTTAAAAGTAATAAAAAAGCAAGTGGACAAAGCGAACAGCTTCAGAGAAGCCTTTTAAGTACAAGTTTGTCTCAGGATGAAAAGAAACAGTTAACGAAACTGAGTTAAAACAATCTCTAAAACAGTTTGGATCGAGAAGTGAAAAACAGTGAATTAGAAAAAGATTTCTGGACTTACAAAACTTAAAAATGACAAGAAAGAAGTTAAATGAATATGAAAATGGAGAGCTGAGTTTCCATGGAGATTTAAAACCCGATCAAATTGAAGTGGACATTCAGATTAATACACTAACACGTAAGACTGATGATCTTACAGCAAAATTGGAAACTTCATCTTCAAAATGTCTACAAATAGATGCAAGAAATCAAGATCTTCAACAGGAGCTATTATCTATGAAAGCGATGCAAAAGGAATGTGAAAAACTAGAGAAGAACATAAAGAAGTTGGAACAGAAAGTA